AGCGATGAAGGCTTCGTCGACAACTGCCTGGACGTGTTCCGTGGACAAAAGACCGGTGATTACTACGAGGAAATGGATGGCGCCCGCTTCGAGAAGTGGTTCGACGGTGTCCTCGACAAACTGCCGACAGGAAGCGTTATTGTCATGGACAACGCTTCTTACCATTCACGGCGGTTGGAAGCAGTGCCGACGACGAGTTCCCGGAAGGACCACATCTGACAGTGGCTGACGTCTAAGAAAATTTCATGGGACCCCAAGATGGTGAAGAAGCAGCTGCTCGACATTGTGGCCTTGGTGAAGCCACAGCACCTAAAGTATCGTGCGGACACTGCTGCCGAGACAGCTGGCTGCTGTGTGGTCAGGCTCCCACCGTATCACTGCGAGTTCAACCCCACTGAACCGATATGGGCGCAGATCAAGAACGGCGTTGCTGCCCGAAACACGACGTTCAAGATTGTCGACGTGGGGAGACTCCTCAACGAAGAAGTTGACAAGGTCACCACTAACAACTGGATTAATGCTGTCAGGCACGTTATTGACATTGAAGCAACGTTCCAACGAGGCAGTGCCACAAGTGCCCACATCCAGCCCATCGTCATCCAGCTGGATGGAGAGGACACCCCATCCGAGAGTGACCTGTGTGGTGTCGAGCCCCTTGACGAAGCGTTCGCCTATGGTAACCGCTGTGGTCGTGGCTGTGGTGGCCTGAGACCCCGAGGACCCTTGTCGATGTCATGTTCTCTTGGAGGACGCCAGATCCCCTAGTACTTGCGCATCCTGGCTTTTGCTTTGCCTTTTTTTTTATTATTTATTGCGTTAGATGACAAGCGAAGACATAGTGCTCCGTCTTCTGGTGGTTTCGCCTTCTCCTCCGTCTTGGCCAATGTACATACTCTTATTGCTGTGACGTGTACGACCCTTGTCTGTTCCTTGCCGTTTTTTGCGTCTATCACTTGAAGAAGGGCGTCCGCCCGAAGCATCGTGTATTCCTTCCTGTCCACCAGGGTTGGGTAGTATCGCGATACAAATGTATCGCGATAGTATTTCAGAAATACATTTCGTATCTGTATTTCTGTATCGCGATACATTTTTTTCACCAGTATCTGTATTCCTGTATCGAAATACATTTGGAATGTTTCTTTGTATCGCAATACAATCAGGATGAAATGTATTTCGTTACATTTCTTGAGAAATACCCCCCCCCCCCCCCCCCGGAAAAAAAAAAAAAACTAGTCCGAACGCACTTTCTTTTTTTTTTTTTTTCTTTTTTACTTCTGTGGGCACCAGAGTCAAGGAGATGCTGGGGCATTGTTATTATGCTGACCATTGCAAGGTTCCTTTTGATTCTGCAAACTATTTTTCTGTTCATCCTCTTCTCTCTTATGAGAAGTGTTGCGCAGTCGGGGACTCGAACCAGGTGGCGTGCCAGGAGTGGAGTCAGAGCATCTTCTGCCGCAGGTCCTTAGGTAGGGATTTTTCGAGTCATTGTTTGCTGGCATCCAATGCCCGCTGCTAACCGTCTCTCTCACCTTAGCGTACAGAATACACCCAGCCGGCAAAGCTGAGTCACATTCCGTTGCAGCACGAGCCTGGCGGTGGTCGACTTGAAATACTAGAAAGACTCACGCTGTGAAGTTCAACACATATTCGAATGCATCTGTGGCTGCGCCCGTAAGATTGCACGTCTCAAGGGTACGTCATCAGCCGACGTGAACGTGACCCGCTGCTCTGGTGATCCGAAACCCAGAAGGACGCCAAAGGTGGCCTCGCTGTGCCATCCCAGACTACACACTCCCGCGACTCGTCTCGTGACCGCTGTTTCTCGGACAACCGTGCACCTGTGCCGGCAATATCAGCTCGCAATCCACGAGGTCTTTGTTTGGATAATGCTAGGCAAAACTTGAGGACTGCAATTGGTGCGTCGGCGGCGGAGGGTCGGTAGTAAGGACCTTCAGAATAGGGATGCTACCATATCGTTTTTTCAACCGTAACAGAAGATAAGACATGTATTCCAAGATGCACTATTCTCAAAAATCCCAAATGACACTGCATGCACGATCTTCAACTAGGTAACCTACAACGAAAGTATGTACTGTCCTTTCATACAGCAGCGTGGTAAAGTTTCATGTTCAAGGCCACACCTACAGATAAAGAATACTAGTTCATTCCACCGTGTCATCATGTGATCAATGTTGACAGGATTCCCTCGTCAGGCAAACAGGATATCATGGAAGGGACCGCGCTCAGCCCTTGATGGAACGTTTTTGTTTGTTTTTTTGGCCCATTGAAGACTCCTTTTCGTCCGAAACCGCTACCTTCAAGGCAAAGTGCCAAGCCTACAGGAAAGAAATTTCGGGATCGAAAACATCCACTTCAAACTTCAAGCTTCATTTCAGTTGGTGTCTCAAAAAAATTTGGAAAATGTATGGCACTATCAGTATTTCTGTATTTGTATTTCTGCCCTCCCTAAATTGTATTCCTGTATTTGTATTTCCAAATACTTTTTGCCTCTTTTTAAAATGTATTTCCAATACGTATCGCGATACATTTTTACAGATATATCTTAGTATCAGTATTTTAGCTACTATTTTAATGTATCCCAGTATTTGTATTTCCAAATACATTTTTGAGTATTTCTGCCCAACCCTGCTGTCCACGTGTTTTTTTCGAGTAGCACAACCATATATTTGCGATTTCGTGTTTAAGCTCATTGCGCATGGCAGCGCCACCCATTCCTTTCGTTACTAAAACATTCAGTTGAAAAACTCGCCCTTGAAACATGGACTGCTCGTGTCCACCAAGACCAAGCTAAATACGATAACAGCACCGCCGTTTAGCGACGAGCCAAAACAAGAAAGTCGATTTATATAGCTACTGCGAAATGGTACTGCGAGATAGCGCCACCGGTCCTTGTGCGACTAAAACTGAATTGAAGTCAGAGTACCAAAAATACAAGGCTCGATGGCACCAAGACGGCAGCTCAATTTGTTTGTTAGTGTGGTCATTATGAGCCTTTAGGCAGCATGTTTTTTGCATTAAAACAAATGGAAAAGGCTTTTTTCGTAAGAACTTTTCGTAGTACAGAATGACAGGCGCGTAAAGTTGTGTTAATTCTTTAGTTTACAAGGTGTTTCGGCGCAATTAATATTGTTTTTATACAACCATGTCTCACAAGTGATTTCAGATAGCGCGTCACAGCATGGGCGCATCCTAACTTCGGTGGTAATCCGCGGCGCGTCCGCTTGGGAGATGGGGGTCGGCATGGCAACCGGTTGAGGTCGCTCGTTCGTCTGAGGTGTCTCTCCCATTCTACGCACACCCATAGACCTCAATTTATCTGTGTTCCCCAGGGTTCAAAGACTCTGCCATGCTGATGTCTACAAAGGCACAGTGCTTCTGGTCAACGTTACACCAGACACTCCGGCGGATGCTATCTTGGACAGCATTCAAGCTGTCGCCAGCAAGGAGGCCTGTCGTACCTGCAACACCACGGTGGAGCAAGGTTCATGGCAGCGGTCAGCATTATGGCCATTGCTCAACGACTTGTAGCGTAAGGGTTCTTGTCACTGGTTAACGTAAAAATCTCCCTGGAGTCAGTGGGAGTGCATAATATTTTTGTGTCTTCCCCTTGATGTGTCGGAGAAGGCACTGGTGCAAGTCCTCACACAGTATGGCAAGGTGAAGGCGATCAACCACGCCACGTTTCGAGATTGCCCGGACGTCAGGACCGGGACCTGTGAGGTAAATATGGACATGTCAAAGCCGGTCCCCAACTTGACTCACGTCCAGGGACACCGGGTGATGGTCGACTACCGCGGTCTGCGCCGCGTTTGCAGTCAGTGTGGGCTTAAGGGCCACATCGGACATGCGTGCAAGACCCCACCCTGCGAACGATGCGGCGTTTTTTGGCATGCGACAGCAGGTTACACGGCCCCTTGCTTGCGGTGTAGCCACAGCCACGCGTGTCCACGGACTGCATCCAGCTTAAGTTCTACGCCGTCGCCGCTCAGCAACCCAGGGAGATCCGCCCACGACCCCCGCAGCGAGTTGTCGCCCCGTCACCCTCCCAGCCCCCGAGAATTCCGGTGACAACTCGGACCCGTCCATCTGTCCGCAGACTCCACCACCTCCCCCCTGTTGTCTGGTCTCCGAAGTGTCGTCGAACGTCGGAGTTTCCGACAGCCATGATGTCAAGCCTAGTCACATTGTGAATATGAACAAAGACTCTCTGACATTCGACATTCCAATGGGACGGATGTTGCCGAGAAGGGCGAAAAGAGTCACTGTAAGAACTACGGGCCATGAGAAATCTTGTTTCACTGTCATTCTGGCCTGCTGCGCTGATGGCACCAAGTTACCACTCATGATCATATTCGAGAAAAACGACGTCCAAGGATGCTCTTTTGTCAGGAGTCATTATGTAATGCAATGTAGAATGCTGGACGGACAGAAATGATGGGGCTGCGGCTGGAGGAATGCTTCTCGCAGCGACCAGATGGATTTTTCCACACAAAGAAGGGCCTTCTGGTGATGGACAGTATGAGGGCACACATCACTGATTTCATTGAGACAAAAATCAAATAAAAAAACTGTGTCCCAGTGATAATTCCTGACGGCATGACGAAGATGCTGCAGCCGCTAAACATAGCCGTGAACCGCAGTTTCAAAGCTATCTTGCAACGTTTGTGGGAGGCCTGGATGACATACAACGACCAGAATTTCAGAAAAACCGGGTGCATGTTGCACGCATCATATGGGCTTGGAAATTGCGCCTTGGGAAGAGACCGCGCAGTCAGTGCAGCTGCGCAACACAAATCCCCGACTATTGTGGCTTGCCGACCTGCTACCGCTTGTGTATTTTCGATAATGTTCAAGTTGTTGCGTTCATTCGCGATGCAATCTCGTGTTGTATTGTGGCTTGTCAACCTGCCTTTGTTTGTGTACTTTCGTTTACGTTCACATGATTTCCCTCGCCCCCATCTGCTGGTGCACGATGGGAGCCACAACAGGAGACGTCGGGGACTCAACAAGAACGGCGGAGTACGCCACCTCCTGCAAGCACAAGAAGTTTCATTTGGACCTATTCCCGAAAAGTTTCCCAACGCAAAGCTGTGTGCAGCCTTTGCAAAAGCCCACTGCGAACCCCATCAGGCACTACCACAACTCATGAACCATCTGAAAAGGCACGCCAATCTGTATGTGGAGTTTCAAGCGACTGCATAGTTAAGCCCGCTAATCAGCCAAGTGTTGCTGATGTGCTGAAGAAAAAAACGGCGGTGCTGCAAGCGAAACAGAAGGCTTTGGAAGATTCTTAAGATTATTGCACTCGACCTGCAACCGTCCACAATTGTGCAAGACCGGGGATTCCAGGATCTTTTGAAGGAGGCAGCCCCAGGTTATCTGCCATTATCATGAACAATGCTGTCGCATGCATTAGTGCTGAAGTTGTACGACGACACCAGAAAGATGGCTTGACTTGAGCTACAGAATATGTTTGAGTGGCATGGAGTCTCTCGTTCACCTGACATGTGTACGTCCAGAGCAACTGAGAGCTACATCAGCCAACTCTTCCTAGATGATCTTCAGTCCTGCTCCTTTTGCCATGACTTCACTTCAGGCCGTCCGAACTTGCTGCGCAGTCGGCGCCATTTTTGCCTTCTTCGGTGCGCATTGGTGTGAATGGTGCGTCTGTCGTACAATTGGTTTGTGTGCTGGCTTTGCGCTTTGGTTTTGCTCAGTACTGGTCCATGGCATGCAGGTTTTGACATGCAGAACAAGTATTTTGTACCAGCGTGTTCAAGCGACTACAAGACAGGGAAGACAGTGCATCAAAATATTCTGGCGGAATAGTTAGTAAGACATACTAAATTACAAATAGCGCTAGGACAAGGACAGACAAAGAAGTGGGCAGGACAGGCGCTAACTCACAACTGACGGTTTTAAATACGAGAAAGAAGAAGGTGAAGGAAGTGGCTTGTTTTTAAAAAGAAGAGAGAAGGAAATGTTTTCAAGGGTTAGAAAATGACCTCTAGACCGTGAAAGACAAAAATAAGAATTAAAAATTAAAAAGTGATCGCTCATAGGTTGCCAATCAGTGTCTCGTACAGCCTATAATCCATTTTACACCGAACAGGCCTTAGAGCATGGCCGCCGTTGGGGCTCGCAGAGCCAGCCGGTACACTAAGGCATGTCTTGTAGAAACGCACTTCCCTCCACGGCTTTGAGCGTAAGATCTTGCTGATCCGTTTGGCGTTCTGCAGAGATGGACTTGCATGGCCGAACAATGCACTGATGTCTTCTGGCACCACGTTACGCCTGATCGAGAAGGAGCAGAATTTTGGTTTGATCTTGCACTGATCGGCAACCTATGAGCGATCACTTAATTTTTTTAATTTTTATTTTCGTCTTTCACGGTCCAGAGGTCGTTTTCTAAACCCTCAAAACGTATTCTTCTCTCTTCTTTTTCAACACAACCCACTTCCTTCACCTTTTTTCTCGTTGTATATAAAACCGTCAGTTGTGAGTTAGCACCTGTCCTGTCCACTTCTTCGTCTGTGCTTGTCCTAGCATTATTTGTAATTTATTAAGACAGTGCATGTGTTTTCGTTCCCAAAGGATTAAGTGCTGTTCAAGAAGTAGCTTAGTGCGATACCTAAGAAGGATTTTGTACCTACGACCAACCAGTCTTGGGTAAGTTACTTTTAAAAAGTAATTCGTTACAGTTACAGTTACTTTCAGAAAAAAGTAATGAAGTTACCGTTACAGTTACCGCAACAAAAAAGTAACTCGTTACAGTTACAGTTACTTTTAAAAAGTAACGACCGTTACTTTTCAGTTACTTTTTCTATAACACAAAAAAATTAGGAAAAACTAGAAAACGCTTTTCACCAAGTTTATTCGCATAAAATTAAAAAGTGTGCTCTTTACTTCGTATTGTAAGTTAGCAGCCTTGTTTGATAACGAACACGTCCCCGCCCTTGTTGAACAGGCGCTCGTCTAACGCACTAGATGGGATTGCAGTGTTGTTTCGCCGGAAAAGGTTTTTGATTGCCGGTTAGGCGGTGAGGCAACAGAGTGCCGTTTTCTGCGGTCAAGTTGTTAGTAACCACTTCCACCACAGCAAAATACTCTCTGTACGCCGGCCATGGTAGTTCTTTTTTGTTCTCATCAACATTCATATCCTTGGTAGCACTAGCACATTCTGGCTCGTTGACGGTTGCGCTGGGTTCATAGAGTCCCTGGACCTATTTCAGTTTGTACCCGGCAAGCCAGAAACAAACCCCGCGCAAACAGCAGTAAATTTTGCCTCCACTGTAGACACTGCACCGGATTAATGGCGCAAATCAAAATACGAAACATGCGCAGTGCGGAGTGGCGGCGCTAATCAAAATACGAAACATTCGCAGTGCCCTCTGCGTGTATTGTTGTTTCACGTATGATTCACCTAATTAAAAAGCGTTTGCGCAGAAAAAAAAAAAAAAATCGCGAAAGGGATAGTTCTTTAAGACACTAAGATGCAAGTGTTCAGTCACAGAGTACAAGCGCGTGCTAAAGATAGCTACTCTTTTTTTTTTTCTCACGTGGCTATATTCGGGTCATGACTGGCGAGAAAGAACGTATTCACAAGTCTGTGCAAAAAATAACTTGACACTCGAAATGTCGGAAGAGACAATTTGGAAAGCACAAAAAATGGCTAAATTGTACTCGTTCAGTGATATATTATTCATAAAAAAACTGAAAAGTAACGACAAAAGTAACGTCGTTACTTTCATCGTTACCTCGGAAAAAAGTAATAGAACTACAGTTACAAGTTACATTTTTAAAAAGTAACTCGTTACAGTTACAAGTTACCGAAAAAGTAACTAAATTACAGTAACGCGTTACTAGTAACGCGTTACTACCCAAGACTGCGACCAACACCAAGGTAAGGAAGTAAATTTTATTGCAGACTGTTCCCGAGTTGGGAGAGACTACAATGTTTTTTTGTTTTTTTTTTAATGCAAAGTTTGTACATTATTTATATTTATTTGGAGAAGTAAACGGCTCACTGCGACTTGCAACTTTGGTTGTTGGTGTTGGAACTTTCGACAACGGCAACGGCTTTCCTCTGCGGAGACAATCTGCACGAGGGTCGAGCTAAACTTTGCACCACCACTGGCCTTGGCGGAGACAGTCGCGCTCGGGAGGCGAACTGAAGTTTGTACCCGCAGCAGCCGTGGATCAACAGCCGGGAAAGTCGAGACTCGACCAGAACGAAAGCTGGAATGCAAGCGAGCGGAGTACGAAAAAGTGGCACGTCTGTTTGGAACAAGTGTGTCTAGTTTAAAATAAAAGTGATGAGTTTTGTTACGACGGATCAACATTTCTGAACGCAAAGAAGCAACAATTCCCACAATTGGCATGCAGGTGTGCGTTGTTCACTTTGAAGCGTCATGCCTCGAGCACAAGTTATTGTGCACGGATCCCAGGACGGGAAAAGTTCTCAAAATTACCCTGAAAGTGCCTTGTCTGTGTAATGGATCAGTGTCTTCCCTGTCCCCAAGGTGCCCATCCTACCTGTCAAAACAAAATGCCTGCTCTTCGAGGGAACCTCTGGACGCCAAGAAAATGCGACGAGGGGCATCAGACCTTGCCCGTGCCATCGAAGGGACTAACCACCTAACACAATGAACAGATGAAGTGCAGGTTTTTATCACTATCTGAACTGAAGGAAGGTCTGAAGAACACATGTACCAGATGAATGGACTGTCATTCATCGCTCTGAGTGTGCCACGTTTTCAAACATCACAAATGAGAGCGCACCTGTTCTGCAGTCGTTTGCGACTCCTTCCAGAAATTTAAAAATCGCTGCCCGTTTTCACGGAAGTCATTTAACACGAATTGGAGACTACCGTAAAATTGCGGGCAAGCGCCCACTCAAACTTTGGAGATAATTGCAAAAAATGGGGGATGGGCGCTAGTCTGGTCATCAATTTTACATATAAATGTACTGTGCGTATTTTCTCGGATATTACAAATTTGGTAATGAACGCTTAGTGTGGAATGGGCGGATGTGCGGTATTTTACGGTATGTTGTAGCAGAGTACATCTGAGATGTCAATGTCCTACTTGAAACATTACATACCGTAAAATACCGAGCATGGGCCCATGTCACATTAAGGGCCCATCCCCCAATTTAGGCAAATTTAAAAAAAATATGCAAAGGACATGGCAAGCGCCCAGTCGCCGCGGACGGCCGTTATCTCCTGAAGTTGAAGCGACCGGCACTAGTTATGAGCCACGACAGCGCGGGCGAAGGGGGCGAAGGGCGCCGCGGAAATCGGGCGAAGGGCTCCGGCGCAACACGGAAATACTCTGGCACCGTGGAAGTCGAGGTCAAATGGCAGAAATAACAAAAGATACAGGGAAGCTGGTGTACAAAGGAAGAGAGGCAAGGGCACGATGGCAAGAGTGAAGCAGTGAAGATACACTACGTTGGAAAGGAGGACCTAGCGAATGGAAAGCCGCAAAGAGCTTAGCGCGTGTGCTGCACCATAGCCTCCTCTATACGGAGAAAGCCTGGCGCGTCGTGTGAAAAGACGGCCGCCGTAAATGGGAAAGGAGGGGCGGAGAAACGGGAGCGGAGAGAACCTTGTCCGCTAGCGCCACAAAAGAGCGAGCGGCCAAACGCAAAAACAATCTTTTTTTTTTTTCTCTCTCTTTTCTTGTCGCTATCGTGGAGAGGAGAAACTCAACGTCCACCCTTTCCCGTTTCTCCCTGCACCCTTTCGAATCGCCGCGCCCGTTTCTCCCGGAGTACAAAAACGACGGTGACGAAAACACAAAAACAAGCGTGGTTCGGGGAGCGGCCGCTCATGACCCAAGCGCTCGCTGTCTAGGTCTGCCCTTTCTGCTCTGCGCTACCATATTGGTCGCCGTTCGGCGCGCTCCTCCTCTCCTTTTTCCTGTGGCCGCGCTCTCTATGGCTCCGTCGTCGATGTGCCAGGCTTTCTCCGTATAGAGGAGGCTATGGCTGCACACATGCCGTGTGCCTCTACCTCTCCGCTTCCGCTTGTTGTTCAGTGGTTCAGTTAGTTCCGAGTTCATCGTGCTGCATTGCTTGTGTTCGCTCGGTTCACTTGTTTGGACGATGCACTCGTATATGGTCGCTAGGAAAGTCGAAGTTGTCAAATGGCATAGGCGCCACGGAAAGAATATGAGCCGGACATCGCGTGAATTCAAGATTGACTGTAAAAGAGTGCGCGAGTGGGACTCAAAATACGAACTGCTCCTGCAACAGAACCACGGAAGATCACGGCTGAAACGCAAGCTGAGTGACAGGGCACCAGTCTTCACTAATGAAGACTAGAGTTGATTAGTGCTTCTTTTTTTTTTTTATTTCTCTCAATAAACTGTTTATTCCATGCTTCTGCAAGGTTTCTCTGCTTTTATACGTTTGCATGCTCGGCGAATGACGACCCTTTTCAAAGTTCATCAAATG